GACCAGACTACACTTCCATCAAACTAAAGAGTTTTTTTTAAGACTTTGGAAAATTTGTAATTAATAAACACAACACATTAGTAAAAAACATAATACACACTACAATTTAAATATGAAATGATAGTTAACCCATTAAACAAATCAATGACACACTTTGTCCGAAGCACAAATCACAGTTTGGGTGTAAAGTGCCCACCGTTTTCCCGCAAGCAGGCCCTAGCTCTTTTGCGGATTGCGCCAACTGTGACCTCATACGTCAATTTTTCCCTTACTTTCCCAGCAGCCTCAAAGATTCTCTCCCGTAACTCAACTTCAGAGTTTACAACAGTTGAGTAAACTAGACTTTTCATGTAACCCCAAACAAAAAAATCTAACGGGCTCAAGTCTGGAGATCGAGGAGGCCATGTCACACTTCCTCCACGTCCAATCCATGTCGGGTAGTTTTGGGATAGCCACAACCGAACGCTTTCAGTAAAATGTGGTGGAGCACCATCCTGCTGAAATATGATTTCAGCTCTTTGTTGAGGATCAATTTCATCCAACAACTGAGGTAGAGAGTGCTGAAGAAAATCTAGATATAAATCACCGTTCAGATTTCCTTCGAAGATATGAGGACCAATTAACCGATCTCCAATCACACCTGCCCACACGTTGATCCCAAACCTTTTTTGAAAAGAAGCTTCTCTGGAGGCTTTTGGATTTTCATTATTCCAAAGATGCATATTGTGAATATTTATCACACCTTCTCTGGTAAAACGGGATTCGTCAGTCCATAGTATTTTTTTAAGGAAGTGATATTCAACAATATCACGTTGAAGAAGCCAGCGGCAGAACTCCTTTCTGGATTCGAAGTCACGAGGCTCCAATCCTTGGACCTTTGTAAAATGATACGGATGGAAGTTATTGTCCTTCAACACTTTATGTACTTTCCACCGGGACATACTAGTTTCAAGGGCAAGCTGCCTAACACTAGTAGTAGGATTATCCATAACTCTCTGAATTACACCCTCTTCAGCTGCAACATCATGCACAGGTCCTACTTCTTTCTTCTTCTTCTCAACCGATCCTGTTTCCAGCAAACGTTGATGCACTCTAGTAAACACCTGAGTACTGGGGGTGGTGCGATCAGGATACCGATTCTGGTACTCTCTCTGAGCAGCCGACGCATTGCCATTACACAAACCATAAATAAAATGCATTTCAACATACTCCCGAATCGAAAAATACATAGTTGACCGATCACTGTCCACATGTGACTGATAGATCGTTTTAAAATATGACTACTGGTTCGCTTTGTTTTCTTATCGCTTGGATAAAGTATTGTTATCAGTAAAATACTTGAATCTATTGACTAAATCCATTCAACAAAATAGAAATTCCGGGAGATAATTTAAATCTTATATGAAAATTATACGATAACCGTAACTTTATCACAAACACATTTTACTACTATGTTTCTTTTCTTAGCTGGGTAGTTATAAACAAAGCGTTGCATGCGAGAAAGAAATACAAATTATTTGTTGCCTGCACTTAAATGTATTATTCTTCACAATAGATTTTCTTTGCCCTACCATGTTTTTTCACAATAATGATCGAATTACATTAGGAAATTTGAAATTCGGTAAAAACTATTATACACCATTGTAAAGCCCTTTAAATAAGGAAGTTTTTAGTCATATTTGATAACCTCGCCGGAACTCAACAACCGAGAAATAAATTACTGTATGTTATTTACATTTTCGTCGATATAAAAATAATTTGTTTAACGAAGAATTTTAAATAGAATATGTTTACGTACCCCAACGATTATGTGTTATATTTATTTAAAATTTTGTGAGGATTCTGAAAATGTCATTGAAGTTGACGGTAAGTGCATTTTTAACAGAGTAAAATAACCTTTTTCATAACAACTACAATAATTTTTGAAAAATCTTAATTTATTTGTTATTCTCTAACTGTTGAAGTTGGGGACCTCAAATTTGCGACATTCTGTCACCATTACCATGTAGTTTAATGCAAAATTTTATTTAACACTTATCACCGGACACCCTGTATTTAAAAATTTGTTATGTTGTTCATTTGTTAAATTAAATAAAAATTTAGGTACTGTTGGTAAATTAGAACCAAAACAAAATCGAGTCTGACAAATAAGCTTTTAAGTTCATGCGTGGAAAGTCCTTCAAAACAGAATACTGTTGCAGAAATATTACTTGTAAAAAATACAGGCTAACAGTTTAAACAAAATCTATCTTGCTAATAACCCCAATTATCTTTCCATTTCTTTATTGTATGTGACTGAGCGGTAACAACAAAGAAAAAACTAAACAACGTTAAGTTGTCCCACAACTCAAGATTTTACTCTTTTTTCCATTGCACCCAAATGTTCAACCCCTTGATCGTCCAACGCTTTCCCAAACCAACCACATATTATTAAACACGCTGATCTTCTAATACCATTCCTCATATCACCTAAATATTTAACTCCCTTAACTGAAACACCCATAACATATTATTAAAGGTTTGCCATATCATTAGGGTATATTTTTTAGAGTATATTAAAGGATATTTTCACCATATCAAAACTTTGAATATTATATTTTCCCCATTGTTCCCAAACATTAGATCCTTTCATCTTCCTATACCTTTCCTCAATTTACCCATATAAGTATCATACAACCCATTATACTGAAATCCTTTTTCCTCATCAAACTATGAAATTCCCTTATATTCTAATACCTTTCAGACAAATAGTTAACATCCTGTTCGTCTAATACCTTTCCCAATGCATCCCAATATTCAACCTTAACCGTGAATACCTTTGGTTGTGTATCAATTGTGCCAAACCCCCAAAGGGTCATAACCATGTTTACGTGTGTTCCTAACCTATCCTGACCTAACTTAACCTAACCTAACCTAACCACTCAATTATACAGTCAAAGAGGGCCGCCACTTGGTGCAGTTAACGAACGTATCGAGGTGCTCCCTGGAGTGTTTGGCGCAATTCAGGAATACCCGACTGACTAAGGTCAGTTGGCGTAATTAATGCCCATACTTTTTACCATACAATTCAACATACTAATCTTATCTCCTCCTACCAACCATTGCGACAGTCTCTTCACCCCAGATAGGATCGTCTGCACAGGTTCCTGCACGTATTGCTGTTATCGCTAGCGTGCAGACTAGTTAGTTACCCAGGCTGTCGCTAGTCGCTAGATCGCTACCGCCTGTCACGCGTCACGTGTTGGGTGCGTTACCGTTGGTTCCGTGTTGCTATCGGAATGCTAAGTAGTGTTACACGCTCGGTTACGGTATGTTGACTGAACGTGGTTCGGGCACTGTGTGAACTTGTGAATTAGACTTGGTTCTTGGAAGCGGAGTTGTGAAATCAGTGAGACTGTTGAACAAGGTTTTAGATTGGCTGTGAGAGCTACGGTGCAAATATGCCTGTTGGTCAGATGGTTTGTAAAATTTTTTAAACATCTTTGTCTCCAAGACTATTTGAATATATAATAGGTTACGTACCTTGGTCCATTTTCAGTCTTATTTTAGTCTATCGATGACTAGTTTTGGGTACAAAGACCCACTAGCAAATCCTTTAAAACATCGTGTAGAAGATGGTCAAAAATCCGACGAAAGTCTTCTATATATCGATGAATACTTCCGTCGGAATGTTGACCATCTTCTACACGATGTTTTAAGGGATTAGATAATGGATCTTTGTACCCGAAACTAGTCATCCATGGACTAAAATAATTGAAGACGGACCAAGGTACGTAACTTATTATATGTAAAATTTGTTTACAAAGCCGAGACAGTTCGATAGTGTTTGCGTTCTTCTGGAACAAACAAACGGACATATGCTACAGAAATTGTTTTCTTATACGTATAATGGACTTAGGTGGTAACAACACATCTTTAGCCATGAGCAACTTCAATGCAAAAAAAATAAAAAAATAAAATAAATAAATCGGACGGCTTCCATGAAAACACATTAAATGATACCATTCACCATCGATTCTCTACCGAAAAATTGCCATCTTACATTTTAAGCATCCAATTAAAAAAAGTCAAAGTGTACTGTGAAAAAATAATTTGTGTCCATTACCATAAATATCCCCTAACCATCCCAAAGACTACTGTATGCTTTGGAAAAATTAAAAATGTTCTTTGGCCCTAATAGTTTGCGGAAACCTCGTATAAATAGGACCAACCGTACTTTAAATTGCAGGATAAATGAAAAAAATTGTCACAAGATGCCAGACGTAGACGTTTGTTGACCCTTTCCCAACCCTGACCTCACAGGGACCAGTGAGTCAGTCAAGATCAAGGAGTCTACATCCAATTGATAATGACTGAGAGATTTAGAGGCCGCTATTGTCTACCGTCCTTCAACTTCTGACAAAGACTTCATCAGTGTCTTGTCTCGTGGTCCAGTTACAATAACAATTCTTGGAACCCGTGTAGGAGGTCACTAATTGATCTATTGATTTCTTTGATTATGGTGTAAGATAACATGTAGATGAATCAAGGTAATCTTGAGTAATTACTGCTTTACGTCTCACATAAAGAATGGATAGGATGAAGATTTTCCAACGGTAAAATGCACCTTTAATACGTGCATTAACTGCGCCAAAGAGTACCTTAATTGCGCCAAGCCCTCTAAGGGTCCCAAAAAATGTTTCTGTTGCGCCAAGCCCAAGCCAGGTAGGGGTAAGTTTCTGGCAAAAGGAATATTCTTGTTACGTGTCATCCTAACATATCCTAAACTAATCTAACGTCCTAACCTAACCTAACCAAACTTAACCTAACCTAACCAATTATACAGTCAAAGAGGGCCACCACTCTCCCTCCTTAAGCTTCGCCAACTTCTATTCACACTTTTCTTATTTTAAATTAGTATTCATCTTCCACATGAAAGTGTTGATTTAACGCATGTTGCCTAAATGGAAGAATTTGTCAACGTTAACACCATTATCATCCAAGATTCTCGAAATACTTACTAGTACTACGGCTTGATGTTCCCTTGGCCACGCTCTGCCAGTATAGGGACCTGAAAAAAAGAAAAACCTTGTTTGCATTATTCAGAAAACGGGTGGTTTCTGCAAAGACAAATTCAGAAACACGTTTTCATTCTGAAGAGTCTACATGTATGACTTAAGTTGACCTGTAGCCTCGAGATAACCAACAGTTAAAACATTTTATCATGATAGTGTCAGAGGCGCTCCTGAGCTCTGTAACACCCGATCTTCCCTTTTGCGAAAGTCCGCGCCGAATTTAGCATTGTCTTCCACCAATTTATCCCCACGAGGTGTTATTAAAAGTTCGATCTTTCTTATTACATCAATTTATCTTGGTCTACTTCCTGCGTTTCCTTTTCTGGTGATAATTCGTGAGTAGAAAACAGGACGTCGATGAGTCACAGACAACTTTTTTGGAATGTTTTTGAGAGCGGGCTTGTGGTATAAGAGTCTAGGCACAAATTAAATTCTTTCCTTTGTACGCCTAAAGTAAGTCTGCAGGATTGTTAGAAATACTTAGCTTTCGGGGTTAAAATTTAGAAATCTCAATTATTCAAAGTTCAATCTACATGCATTATTTACTCCTATCTTGTTGTCTGGGAATACAAATCACCCAAAATGTTAAATGTTCAATGATTTGAACGTTCTATACTCTAGAAATTGAACACTTCCATTTTACACTCTTCAAGAAACCCACCTTCCGAAAGAAAATCAAATCGTAATCAAATGAGAAAGATGTACCAAAATGCAAACCAAAACCAGTTTTTTATATGTGGGAACATCCTGGTGGAGTTTTATAGGTAACAATGATCTTAATTTTATAATCCTCTGGGCTATAAAATATACAAAGCACTAAAAGAATTTGTGTAGCATATTTTTTGTCTTCCTGTGGCGTCTCGTCTAACGATCTCAAGGCCGGCCAAGGACGTTTGAAGTCGTAAAATGCAAGACAATTACAGCTTTATGACTCTTCTGTTCGAGATCGGTAGTTTATACGTCCATTTAGCCATTATGGACTATCCAAAGACTGACAATTACAGTATTAATTACATTTTAACCAGCTCCTACTTGGATAACTCTGTGTTCTTCGCACATTTTTTCAACGCTTTTTGCAGTTTGCAAATACCTGTGAGGTTCAATATTGCCTTCAATAGTATTAGCTTGCGTCTAAGGTGTTTGAAGAATTTAACTTTTTTTAAATTGATGGTTGGCATTTCTCATATACGTATAAAACAGTCCTTGAAAACATATGGCCTCAGGATCCGTGTGATCTAACTACTGTATTTCATATTCACGCGTTGATTTGGAGGATGGATGTATGCTAACTTTGTTGAGCTTTGTTTTAAAACTATTTAGATTAAATAATTGTTATTAGTTAGTAGAATATTCCTACATTTGACAGTTTCGTGTTTAATTTGTTACCTTAGGTTAGTTCGTAAAGACGAGGTATTCCTTATTCGTTTTAGTATGGAATTCTTTATCCAAATAAGATTTTGTTTGTAATTAGACATTAATTTTATTATTAGTACTATACTGTAAGTTAAGTACAGTTCTGGTAATAAAGTACCATAACTTTGTTACTTGATTATCCTCGTGGAGAATATTCGTTAAATGTCTACAGTTAATTACACTCTTTACACATTATTCCTCTTGTGAGAGTGGTTTGAGAAATCAAGCGACAAATGTGTACTTAACAGAAACTGAGCGAATACAAACCCTTTAACTACAGGCGCCTCGGGCTTATCAGCATCATGAGATATAATTAAAGAAACGAGCGGTTGTAGAAATTACTGCGTGAGGAAGATACAGGCTTTCACGTAGAAAGGATAAAACACCATCGGCTTATAATACTGTGGAAATAGGCACTTGTTTCACATGGACTTGATTTGATGATTTGTTGGACTTAACAAAAAACAAAAAAACTGACCAAAGTTCCGGATGTGTTGCAGCAAGCAATGCATTTTCGCATGTAAATTCAAGATTAAATGTAACTGAATCGTATCTTCAACACAATTGTATAATTTTGACCAGTATTTCTGCCAGTTTAAAAATACCATGAATTTACATTCTTCTTTGGCAGTGACAGCTCACCTTCGAGTTTACAGTTTAGAATATTCAAATCTTTTCTCTGCGTGACAAAGACATGAAATTCTAGGAAAATTCATTTTTTCATAGCTACACATTATCTTTAATTAATATACCTTTAAGGAGTTATAAAATCCGAACATGTAATTCAATAATTACACACCATATCAAAGGCAAATGTTAAGCAGAACGTGATTCATGGCCATTTTACAAAATTTTTCAGGAACATTTCTTTTAGGTAAAACTCCTCAATGGATTACTCAAACTCAATGGATATAAGTCAAACTCTCCATTTACTAAAACAATTTAGGAAATATGAATTATGTGTTGAAAAACTAAAGACGTAGCGAGAAATTCATCTTGAATTAAAGATGAAAATATTCATGCAAACTTCGTTAATTACTTTGAAATCTACATTTCATGAAGAATTGGCTGCCAACTACCAATGGGACAATGCCGATTATATATTTTAAATAAATCAATTTAGTGATGAACATGTTCGTCAATAATTATATCTTCAACTGTTTGGCATACGGGATAATTCGCTTATAGGTAGTTTCCCGTGCTGCAAACCAAACAAAAGTGAAATAACCTTCAATTATCAGAAGACGTACGGACAAAACCAGATAATCAACTTCACTTGAACCTTCATTAACCAAAGTATGATGTTCGCTTGTGTTGCTCATGACATCAGCCAAATAATTTTAGACCACGCATTTGCCTATTGATGCAACCTTGGGGAACTAAATTACAGAATCTTGTCACGAAAAACGTGTGCAAGAATTCTCCATGTGGACAAAAAAATCAAACTTTTGGAAAAGAAAATATTCATCAATTTTCCAATTTGAAAGTTTATTTTTCACAATACTTCAGGCTAGACCTAGGGGTTGTGGAAATATCACTAAGATAAAATCCATTGGTGATTTGGCGGGATCTAAACCCGGCACCTCAGGGACTTAACCACTAGAACAGTTTCGTTCCCTAATTTTTTAACTCTGGTTCCCTTCAAAACGAATGAATCTTTTGCCTTCATGAAGTCTTATAAATTATTGAAGCATCCAAAATTTAGAGAGAAAATATAATTTTTACCACAGGACACTCTATCAGTGGTTCATTAATGTTCTCTTTTAATAAAAATTGCCTACAGTTTGTCCACATGGATCAAAATGCCTTCTTCAGTATACAATGGTTCAATCAACTTCTACAAAATCGGTATGACAATTTAGACTCAAACCTATTGCAAAACTGTAACAACTTCCGATCGCGAAAACAAAAAAACAACGCGACCTTGGGGCACCCCATTCGCAAGCGGTGTCGCCTCATCAAATACGTGCCGTAGCAAACCAACAGCTCGGCGGTCGTTGACGGCGCAATTAACCGCTGATGAAACGGAAAGCGTGCATCAGCCGTCATTAGCGGCTCGCAACGGAAGACGTGAAGACGAGCGGCGGGCGGCGGCGAAACGTCCTTGCCAAGGCCGCCCGGTCGCCCATTGATCAATATTTATCGGGTGGTCGACCCGTGTGTTTATGTAGCCATTACACTCTGCAGGTGGCGTTAGATGCGTCTGACAACGGCGGTAAATCGTAGAGATTGCAGTTTTTGCACTGCTTATGTTTACGATAATGGAGTTACCTCCTCTTTGTGTAGGAGGTGTTGATTCTAGTTCGGGTAGGCCTGTGTGAAATATGTTTTATTGTTTTTGTTGTTATTTTAGCATTGTGTGGGATTAAGTTTCAGTTTACGATAATGTCAGCTGAACGTGGTAAAGCTACAATATTCTTTTAGTCAACGCCTGCAGTCTACTAGCAATTAACAGCTATGTAGAGATTTGGAATTTTTTCGTTCTTATCATTCTGTGGTGGTTAAAAAAAGTTTAAGTACTTAGCCTAAAACTTTCAGTTCAGAAAATGCTACTTATCAGGCATATACATGTGAAAATGTCCTTTAAAATGTAAGAATTTGGAGTAGACGTGTGGATATAGTGCCCTCTTCAAATGTGGATGTTTCAGGATCAATTCTGAACCCAGAAGGCATTTTTCATTGGAGCAGAAATTACTGTTGCTGCATAAATAATGTAAAACGTTCCATTGGCGTGGAGATTCACTGAAGCAAAACAATAACAATTCTCAATCTTTATATTCTTTGACGTCTAAAAGGGATACATTACTTTCCTTCTTGACTCACGAACCTCCCGAAAAGGATATCCACAATTAGGTCCAAGAGAAACCAGTTTATCTGTGAAGATCGAACTTTTAATAACACCTTACTGGGAGAAATTGGCGGAAGACAATACCAAAATCGGCGCAGACTTTCGCGCAGGGATCGTGGGTTGCAGAACGCAGCTGCAAACCTGATCGTGAGGGTTGTAACCGGCTGTTAGTGATAACGTTATCTCAAGGTCAAGGGTCAAGTCGGCCACACATCTAGGCTCATCAACATGCAAAACGTGCGTCTGTGTTTGACTTTGCAAAACCGCCGTGCGATTAAGTCTGTTCGGAGTGCAGATTTTCTTTTCAAAGAATATATTATTGGAAACGTTTAATTGCGGGTTCAAGGTTGAAGACTCCACTTGGGTTTGGAGTCGTGATTGAATGTTTTTCAGTTGATAAAACTGGATATAGCCAGGCAACATGACCATAGGTTCTTCTGATGGCCTGCATAAGCTAACCATGTCTTTGACCCAGTGAATATTGAAAAGATATTGAAGTTCCCTTGAAAGTCAGATAATCATTTGGCATCAGTTTGAGTGAATAGACCTAATATGTTTTTGGCTTTCAAATATATAACTGAGACATTTCAGATAGTAGGTGAAAATTGGAAAAGCAACTATTTTACTTTTCAATGATATTTGAGTTTCAAGAATTCGATATAAACTAAACAAATAACCAGAGCACTCAAGGTTTTATCTTTAGAAATTTGAATATTGCTCCTGATTTTCTGTGAT